GCTCAGCTCTGAACAAAAAGGATATCATTCATTCCTGGATTATCTGTGCCCTGCTCCTACCCCACTAGCCCAATAAAGTGAAATTTGAGGCATCCATGGGGTACAATAAGAAAGCCATTTTAGGAGAATGTTTTCAGAGATCATGTACAGGCCATGCAAGCAAATTACCCTTATCACTTCTTTAGAGTTGCACCAAAATTTTGTTCATAATTGAAATGTTCAACCTTAGTTGGTTGCTTAAGACATAGCTTGGAATGGCTTTCTTCAGCCATTTCTGCTGATTGAATCCTTCATCCAATGTATGATTTGTCATTCCTGAGACCAAGCCTTGAAGACAGCTTCACAGGTTTCCCAAGGATGCTTTGAGAAAAGCCTAATGCTGATGGTAGAAATCAGGTACTCCATGAAGGGGACATGCATATCTTTGGTTCCTTCCCACCAAGATGCTCTCTATTCCCTTCCCTCTGGTCCCCGCCTCAATGCTATCTCATGAGTTCAGTGTTGTAGGCTCAAGATAAGACTCTTCCCACAATGCCTGTGTCTAGCAGGAGGGAACACCAACATCCTCACTTTTCTTACCCCCAATCCTTCAAAATCCAAAAGGCTGGATTATAAGTGGTGGGTGGGAAAAGTATATTTGGGGTCAAAAGACCAGTTCCATTGCTCCATGTGTAAGTTAAAGTAGGGAGTCAGCCCACCCTCAGACTTCTCTGGAAGGAAGGTGAATGTGTGGGTGCTGTCCTAGGGCAGCCAGGACACTGCCCTGCTCAGACACACGGTCTTCAAAGCTCCAGACACAATTACAAGGTAACGTTTACAAGGTTTAACCACTGGATGAATGGCATGGGACCGACTAATCAGAATGGATGACAGTCTGGGCACTGAAGCAGGATCACGGAGTCCCTCTGCTTACTAGGCCTTCAACTTTTAGTTTTTTGGATCATGGGGAGTCCAGGGAGTCCTGGGAGAGGGCCAGGGAGCCTGAAGCTGTAGCAGGGCTCAGGGCTGTGGCTTTTTACCAAATGGCACAGAAGTACACTACATTTGAACCCCCACATGGCTGAACCCTGCACAGTGTGTAGTGTGTATAGCATGATTTTCCTGCACAGTGTATATAGTGTGAGGGGGCAAGTTACTTGAGGAGGTGGGGAGAACTTCTAGGAAAGTGTATAGTCACAATCTTTTGAGGTTTCAGTATTTTCTGACAGATCTTCCTCTGAGCAGAGACCTGGTTATTCCCCTGCTCTTGTACATTCTTACTGCCAAGGCCGCGTTCCCATGTGGACTCCCCCATCCCATCTCCATCATGGTTTCAACCTGGTTCAACTTCTCATGACCTTTTTACTTTTCTGAAAGAAGTTCCTAATCACAGCTTGCCCTTTGGTATGGGGTCACGGAGACAGCACTAAATGAGCTTTAGGACACGGGAGGTGTCTTCAAGGCCTGTGATGCCTCATTAGACACAGTACGGAAGAGAGTTAGGCCTGAGGACTTACCAAAGAACGTCTGTCTCCTGGAGGCCATCTGAATGAAGCCGGCTGGCGGCAGGCCCAGCACCTTCAGTAAGTACAATTTAGTTGGCTCACTCGTGGGGTCACACATTCAAAGACTGTTAGAGCTACAGGGCACTTTGGTCACACTTTGCCTACTACAGATAAGGCCCCGGAGATATTAAGTGACAACATCAAGTTAGTGGCAGAGCAGACCGGGAGCCTGGGTCTTTCAACTCCTAACCCAGGGCAGTTTCGATTTCCTAAGAATTGACGCTGGCCGTATTATTCCAAACAGGCATTAGCACCCACTAGGGGTAGACCACCCTTGAGAGCAGCCAGACATCATTGTCAGAGCACATAAACTAGTGCACGTGCCACCACGTCTGAACTAAGGAATGATATATCCCAGCATGGAGCTCTGGGAAGGGAGGAGACCAAAAGGAGATGAAAATCATCTGATGGGGATCAGACCATTATAAGACAAAATACCTTCTGGAAAAGAAAAATGGAGCA